ATTCATTCCACCCCAGAAAGGTGAAGGTTGAATTACCAGTTCGTGTGGATTTTGTTGGGGGTTGGAGTGACACTCCTCCATGGAGCTTGGAGCGCGCTGGTTGTGTTCTGAATATGGCAATTAGTTTGGAAGGTTCTCTTCCAATTGGCACCATCATTGAGACAACGAAAAAAACTGGTGTCTGTATTAGTGATGATGCTGGAAATGAGTTACACATTAAGGACCTAACCTCAATTGCCACACCATTTGATGACAATGATCCATTTCGGCTTGTCAAATCCGCACTGCTTGTGACTGGCATTATTCACGAAAATGCTCTTGCATCCAGGGGTCTGCAGATCAGGACATGGGCTTGCGTACCTCGTGGAAGTGGCTTGGGGACTTCAAGCATCTTAGCAGCTGCAGTTGTGAAGGGACTTCTTCAGATTACCGATGGAGATGAAAGTAATGAAAATGTTGCGAGACTTGTTCTTGTATTAGAGCAGCTCATGGGGACAGGTGGTGGTTGGCAGGATCAGATTGGGGGTCTCTACCCGGGTGTTAAATGTACTTCAAGTTTTCCTGGTATCCCATTGCGACTACAAGTCGTCCCACTCTTGGCTTCCCCACCGTTAATTTCAGAGTTGCAGCAACGCTTGCTTGTGGTTTTTACCGGTCAAGTACGTGGCATCCTTTCAATTTCAACTTTAGATAATGCATAATTCTTCTTGCCTGCAATAAGTAAATAACAATTAAACATGGCATTACATAATTGTGTGTTCAATCGTGAAAAGCGTAGAAGCTTGCTGGTCAAGTTAACGATTGCAGAGTCTTGTTCTACACACACGCACTTTAGTTACTGGACCCTAATATGATGTTGCTTTATTCTTCATGTCCAAGCTCATGCATCTCATGTTCTCAAAGAAAACACGTCTGTATTTGCATGTATATGAAATAATGTACTTGTGATATTTGTGTAGGTTCGACTTGCACACCAAGTCTTGCAAAAGGTGGTAACCCGCTACCTCCGAAGGGACAACCTTCTTGTATCCAGCATCAAGCGCCTCGCTGAACTGGCCAAGATTGGGAGAGAAGCGTTGATGAACTGTGACATAGACGACCTTGGGGAGATAATGCTAGAGGCTTGGAGGCTGCATCAAGAACTCGACCCTTACTGCAGTAACGGGTTTGTGGATCAACTCTTCAGATTTGCACACCCGTACTGCTCCGGCTACAAGCTCGTGGGTGCTGGAGGCGGAGGCTTTGCCTTGTTGCTTGCCAAGGATGCCAAGCAGGCAAAGGAACTAAGGCACTTGCTGGAACAAGATTCCAATTTTGACGTCAAAGTATACAACTGGAACATCTTCTTAGATAATTGATTAGGTTGATTCTTAGCTTCTTGTAACATTCTTTAATGTATATTAATATTAATTTAGAATTACGTACGATAATTACTGGATATAAGTTTCGGTTGTTGTATTAATTTGAAAATAATTCAAATTTTTATTTGTATGGAAATAAATATAGAATAAATTCATGATTCGGTTCATTTAAAAATCGTAATATTACAATGCATTTAATCATTGTAAATGCTTTGTATTTTTTTATTTAAAATTTAAGCTTATTATCAAGCGGCAAAAGAGAAAAGGGGAAAAAAAAAAGGAGAAAAAAAAAGAAAGCCAAGTGGCAAAAACGAATCATGAACATGAAACACGCATAGCGTGAAATCATGGCAAAGAATCCAAAGCATTCGGCCTTCCTTTCTTTTTTTTTTTTTTGTTCCCATTAATTGCGTTGCTAAAGGAACAAATTAAAAACAAGAAACTGTTGAGTGTAACGGTAATATTGTGATAAAGTAATGAGAGTTTTAACCTAAATAAATATAAATATATATAGAAAAATAATTTTCACTCGTAAGTCAAGCCACAACAGCAAGTGGCTCTCTATCACAGAGGTAAAGATAAATGTTGATCTTGAACCACGACATGAGTTTGAACTCCGTCGGTTTTCTAATCTAACAAATCTATCGTTTCACAAAAAAAGGGTAAAGTTACAACACCATGTGATTGTGTGACTGTAGCATCAAAAATTCGAAAAAGAAAAAAAAAACCCCACAAAGTTACAAGAAATTGATTAGTGAAAGGTGACAAAAGAAAAAGAGAACGACAGGAACTAAATTATGAAGTGGAGCCTCCCTTAAGTCTCTTGCAAATTCCACTTGGAAGAAAAACAAGGGAAGGAAATAAAGGAGGTCATCATCCTCCATTTCAATTTCATCATCAAAGTTGGTCATGATTATTCATGACCCAGAAAATTAAAATCCGAAAATATTTCATGTTAATGTTGTATAAATTATATAAAAATTGGTAAAGGTCGTTGAACTGCTTCTTTGGTGAGCCAATCCTTTTGTGCCGCACCCATTAATTTTTGTATTAATTTTTAATTTAATGTAATCTTTTATATAGAGTCATAGACTCTTCAAGTTTCATCCTTTACCGTTTGTGGGTCAGTCCAGTCAGTCAATCTATCTACATTTTTTTGTGGAGTCAATTTTTACGTTGCAAGCGGTTTGCTTTGCTTATGGTGTAATTGCAGAAAGCCGCAGAAAGCCAGAAGCAGAAGCAGAAGGCCAGAAGCAGAAGCAGTCTATAGAGAGATGGGTTTGCTGACGAACAGAGTTGAGAGAAATGAGGTCAAGCCAGGAGACCACATCTACACGTACAGAGCTGTATTCGCCTACTCTCACCATGGTTCTCTCTCCCTCCCTCTCTTTTCCTTGTTTTTATTTCATTTAGTTTTCTGGGTATTTAATTAATTCTTGGTTATATATTTTCTTCTTGAAGAATACACAATGTGGGTTCGTGGAGTGATGGGATCTCTGGGTTTCCTGTATTTCTTCCATTTGTTTGTTTAATTCTAATTTCTGGGTTCGATTCTCAGCTGAATTATTGCATCTTGTTTCCTTGAATTTCAAGTTTCTTTGCCTGCAAGTTTATGGTTGTTGATTCCTTGATTAAAGCCTCTTCCCAGTGCAAAAAGCAAATACCTGTTGACTTCTTGCAGTCAAAATAAAAAAAAATTGTTACCGTTCAGATAGTAGTAATTTTCTTCTAATTGATTGCTTAGATCACCATTAACTTTTTGTTTGAATTTGTTGAGTTGTTCTTCAAATCGTTCGATTACACGGATAATCGTTCTGTGATGTGATGTGACTGAATTTTTCTGCCCTTGATTTCTACTGATTGTTTCGGCATGATGATTAAAGATGACTAGTTTCTCTTACCCGTACAAGACATGATTCCATAGCCACCAGGAGCTTCAAAGTTCACTTCTTTTAATTTTCCACTTTTTCTTAACCTTGTTGAGTCATCAAATTCGCTTATGAAATCGTTTTAAGCACTAACTTCTGTTTCGGATATTGTTCATTGGATGGTTTGTATGGCTCAACACAGGAAAACAGAAATCGACTGAAGTATTTGTTCCTTCTCTTGTTGAACTTGAGGGAGTAGAATGTGTTTTGCCCTTCCTTTTTTCTGTTGTTCGTAACCTATTAACATTGCTGACTTGCAGTATTCAACCGTAACTTGGACTTGAAAACTGAATTCCTAAATCAATGTTGTCATATAAGTTCCCCGATTGCTAGAATAAACACAGTTTTTCTTCTGATTTAACTAAGATGTCTCATCACAAGTTGCAACATGCTATGGATTTGCAAAATGTACTTGGGAGTATTATATGAAGAATACGTCTGCATCTGTGCCGTGAACTTCACATTTGGGTGGTTTGATTTAACCTGTGTAACGGAATGTTGTAGAAAAATGGGTGCCTACTTCAACATAAAGTTTTCTCTCGTCATTATCTTTAGCACCTGCTAAACGATTTATTTCCCCCGATTTTGTTCTTCCCATTGCAATTTTCAGTTTTGTTCATTCTGTCAGATAAAGTCCAATTTTTGAATGTCAAATCTTGCTCAAATCATACAGTGCTTGGTTCTTTTGAACTTATTTCTCTCTCGTGTTACTCTCATGTTTGGATCGAGTTTAACCACAAGCTGTGTTGAAAATGACATGATGCAGGTATTTATCTTGGGGGAAGCAAGGTGGTCCATTTTAGACCCAAACGAAATTTGAACTCCAGCACTGAATCATCATCTGATGTTTATGATTCAATGTCCTGTCCCACCACTCCTGACTGTGGATTCCGGCAACCCAACAGTGGTGTTGTCCTCTCGTGCCTGGACTGCTTCCTGAAAAATGGATCTCTTTACTGCTTTGAATATGGGGTTAGCCCTTCAGTTTTCCTTGCAAAAGTACGGGGCGGCACATGCACCACTGCAGCATCCGACCCATCAGAAACGGTTGTCCACCGTGCCATGTATCTTCTTCAAAATGGATTTGGCAACTACGATATTTTTCAAAACAACTGCGAGGATTTTGCTATGTATTGCAAAACCGGTCTCTTGATAATAGACAAGCAAGGTGTGGGAAGTAGTGGTCAAGCTTCTTCTATTATTGGTGCCCCATTGGCAGCCATTCTTTCTTCTCCTCTGAAGTTGTTGATGCCAAGCCCGGTTGGTGTGGCTACTGTAACAGCTGGGATGTACTGTATGAGCAGGTATGCAACTGATATTGGCGTTCGAACTGATGTGATCAAGGTTGCCGTGGAGGATTTGGCCGTTAACTTGGGTTGGGGCAGTGACCATGAGGGGGAAGTCACTGAGGACGATGATTCTGATTCCTCTCTTACACAGATTACCAGGTGATTGAACATGGTTCTTGTGCAAGTCCAGTGCCGTTGAATAAGCATTTGTCGATGTTAATGACTGAATTACTGATGTGGGTTTTACAACTCATTTGAAACTCACATAATAGTGTCTTATAATTCATGCATGGAATGAATGAAAGCAGTACTTATCTGGTGTCTGTAATCGATGCTACTATTTGATTTTTCACTCCAAAATGGTCATCTTGCACTCTTCCATCCGTTGTTTTCTAAAATTGAGAAAGAAAATTGGAAAATAAATTTCAACCAAATCGAGAACGTTTCAAATTAGATGTGCATTATTGGTAAATCGCAATCGCAAAATCAACTGTTCAAACAGACTTGTTTTCTGTACATATACAAAGTTAATAGAAGCAGCACACTGTAACACAGATTTTTCGAAGGGCCTCCATTGGCTTCATAATCTTAGGTACCATACGGCAACGCGCAATTGGCATGGGGGACTGTCACAGTGACATTCCCGTTGAATGGGAGTTTCTCTCCTGCGGAGGGCTTGTCACCGGTCTGGTGTTGCGTTTTATTTCCTTGGGGTGCAGGCTTCATATCTGCCTGGACTGCAAGCTCATTGACTGCATCAACAATTCCACTGATTCTTGCTGCATTTTCAATAAGCAAAGACACCAATGTGGTCACCGGAAGAACCTCCACCAGTGGTGCTACGATGGGCTCTCCTTTGCCATCATCGTCGGTAGCTTCTGATGTCGGTAAAACAAGCCAGATAGGCACAGATTTCAAAGATTTTTGAAGCTCCTGCACTGCTTTGTTCATTTCCCAAACCAATGAGTCAATCTCAGATGATTTTTTCATGGTTTTAATTGTTTTCGCCAGTTCTCTCAAGATGTCTGAAGAATGTTTGTTTGTTGTCTTACAGGCATTGCTGAAATGCTTCTTTAGGTTTCCGATTCCAGGCGGCATCTGCCCATAAACAATATGCAACTTAAAACTACATAATCTTAACAGAGATAATTTGTTAGGTGTAAAACGCCAACCTTAATTTCCGACTCCATACAAGCGCTGAGAGCCTCGACGCAGTAAGCACAACTGCGCATCGATGCGCCAATCTTGAGGTACTGTTTCCATGGATGTTTGAAGTTGAAACTTCCATGTGCAGGCTCCCATCTTGCAAATTTAGCCTGCAAAATCGAATGCCCCCAGGGGAAAGAAAAATCAGCAAATCAATCTCGTTGCCTATCGATCCCATCTAACACGATCGCATACCATATTGTCTTCTGTTGCCTTTGAATCGAGCACACATTTATACCCATTCATTGTCTTTAAAGTACTCCAACACATATCCTGCAAAATATTGTCATTACTAATACTTTAAATTCTGCAGGGGGTAAAGAAAACGATAATTAGAGCTTGTTTAGGACTGCTTCTGTAAATCCAAATATTGCTTGTAAAAGCACTTCGGAGTGCTTCTTTAAGAAGCATCTAGCAGGTGCTTGTCCACAAAATGCTTCCATGACCAAGAAGCGGTTTTAAGTTTTTCTACCAAATGCTGTCAAAAGAACTTTTAGCTGGTAGAAGATGTTTTTAGCCTTTTCAGAAGCAGTCCGAAACAGGCCATTTAAGTATTGTAATTTGAGATATATACCATCCAAGGAATCAGCCAATTTCTCCAGGTTATTATAGATCACACAGTGGAGCTGCTGACCAGCCCAATTGGGATAAAAGAGAATGCTAATTAGAATGCAAAAGAAGGTCCCAATGCCAACGGTGAGCAGTCTGTCGTAAGCCAACTCGAACAACTCTTCCACGCGATATCCGGAAATCGAAACTAAGGTGAAGGTGAGGATGAAGATGAGAGCACCATAATCGAATCGCGATTTGACAGGTGGGATGAACCGAGAGAAGGTGGCTGCCGAAGCTGCAAAAGTGAGCACCACATAAGTATTGTTTCACTAGAGCCTGCTTAAAATGTAAATTTAACTCGAGCGACACACCAGCGAAATGATTATGAACCCGAAATTTAGAACAACAGATGCACATACCTAGGAGGAAAACTGAGGTTCCAATAATTATGGCCTCAAAATTTTGTCCTGCCTTGCAAGAAATCCAATGGACACCCAAGCCAAGTGATCCTGCAAGAAAAGTTCCTGCTGCTCTATTTATGCTTTTGTATAGTGTAGCACCTGCAATGAAATGGCCAATTGGTTACGTTTTTTTTCACTTTAACTTGATGCTGTGGCAAATTTTGTACGGTAAGAGATTTCCACACATCTGTTTTTTCGCGCTGCACAGCTCTCTTTTTCCAGCGTTTTTTTTATTTTATTTTTTATTAAGGGTGAATCAAGGGACATAAGTAAAGAGAGTTGACCAGAAATTACTCCCCATTTGGTAATAACAAAAAGAAAAACTAATGAAAAAGATTTGAAAACTTTGAGTTCTAACGATAAGGACAAAATAAAGGGTAAATTGAATAGTACTATGATATCGATTGACTTTTTAGTGTAAAAATGTGATTTTTCATTAAAGTGAATAGTACCGAAAGCTTTTAATTAAAGTTCTCTAAAAAAAATTGGTTTTTTTTTTTCCAGTTTTACTCACCAACAGTTGATTCGAAAACTACCACGACAGTCATAACCGCCCACATTGCGTTCCCACCTACACCTTCATACAAAGACCTCATGTAGTAAAAAAGCAACACAACTGAAATAGCCAACCCTACTTTGAGAGCATGGATCGCCTTTCTGGGCTCAGCAACTCCTAACTTCCATGCCTTCACTAAAAACCTCCAAACTTTCAGCACCAATCCTCCAACCACACCCTTCAACCCTAGCAACGCCTTGTCGACTAGCTCGGATTCTGGAACAGATGCATTGTTTGTCCCATCAGCAACATTGATTCCCCATTCGACACTCCCTAACACATCCTTTTCACTCACCATGTTGGCTAGGGCTCACAAGAACAACGGAATTAGGGCGGTTCGGACTAAATTGAAGCGCTTAGTGGTTTGCCTTCGTATACGATCATTAAGCTTCATGTGCCTTATATATTATTCACCAGAACTTTCAATTCCTTGAGCACACAGATTAATGGTCTTACAGAAAGCACTGAAAATACATGGCCTAAATTTGGTAAGCAGTTACTAGTATCGTCATCTCCATTAAGCTTAACTTAATGGTTTTGAATTAACAATGTCTTGGTGCTTTTATCTTGTTAGACAATTAAATGGATAATATGTTTAAGTACAGAAACCGCTAGTTGTTCAAAAGGTTTTAAATTGAGGACATGAACTTAACCATTAGGGTTTGGATCATAAACCTAAAATCCCTAAAAAGCATGACCTAATTCTACACGTACTATTGCAGGGCTAATATTTTAGTTGATCCACTACACCATAAAACGCATTAGGAACATATTAGAACTTTTATATCTTCAGCTTTTAGATTGTTTAATAAATAGAGGCCAAGAGCAATCCATGTCATCTTTGATCATTGGAAATATTATGTCGAAGTGCCTATATAGCAATTTTTTTTTCTTTATTTTTTATTTTTTTATTTTTATGTCTGAATCGTCTTTGATCGACGAACTCTTAGCTTAATAGTACTTTAGCTCTTCATACTGAAAGAGAAAGGTTTCACCTTCAATTCCACCATCTGATAAATAATTGTAAATATAGGATTTTCTGTGTGCTAGACTGCTAGTGCTACATCAACGTGCCAAAATGTCGTGGCATTTAACTTTTGTGGCCACAATCTCTCCACGAGCTGTATCATTCAACATGCTTAGTACTTCGCTCTCTTCCGTTTCATCTGGTAAGAAACTATTTCATTCATGCAACAAAGAAAGTTAGGGAATGAAAGTTAATTTATTACTTGTTGGTTAAGAAACTAATCAATGGAATACAATCATTTCTAAAAGTCAACTCATAAAAATATATTTCCTCCCAAAAATGTTCGTACCTATTTATACAAGAGGCATGATGAACTTAAACCAACATTAAAGTATAACAAACCAGCTTAAATATGCTTGAACTTGTCAAAGTCATTGAGGAGGTTGCCACTACTTCAAATAGTTTGTCCAATGACATGCTAACCAAACTTGGAGATTTGGTAGGTCATGTTTCTTATGTTACGAGAAAAACTTCCTTACGACATCTCAATCAATCAATTGGTCATGACTCATGCTTGAACTGACCAACTGATAATGGCTGGAACTATATGATGTCGTGCACCGAGGGTTGTACTTACATCACACGGGCTAATGGGAGGCCTAAACTAATTCATGCTCAAGTTTTTCTCCTCGTGTCAGAGAGCTTTATGGCTACCTTGGTTGAATAGCCTTAAACTTGATGCATTTTGGTTTGCAGCACTATGTACATGAGGATACCGGTAGGGATGGGAGCATTCCAGCATTCCACCTCCACCCAAATGGCCGGCCTCACGAAGACCGAAATGGGGTTTCTATTACCAGAAGGCGTCCATTCAGATAATATCTAGTGGCAAGCACAAACCTGATGAGATTCCCCTTTCCATCTTATTCATTCCTTAAACAGGCAAGTCCCTTATGTAAGTAAAGAAAAGGGTTTGGAATTAGCTGTAGGTTAAGAAGTCAAAGTAGTCGTGAGGCACTCAAGATGTCCATGTGGAGAAGTGAAGGATCCACAAGAAATTACGAAGTACTGAATTTGCTAGCCTAGGATAGGAGAAATTACCCCTTTGGTTGAAATGGGCCGTCATCTTGGGCTGCATTTTGCTTGGTAATACTATGCACTTCTTTTTTTTTTTTTTTTTTAGTCAAAATGATCTTTTAAATTGATATAACTCTACACTTTGGTAATTGAGATTTGAAATCAATAAAAGTGGTTCCTAAGTTTGTCCACCATCAATCATTTTGGTTATTCATTGAAAAATATCCATTAAATAAGATAGAATGACAAAAATACCCTCAATTTTTGTCAAATCATTTTGGCCCATTGTTTATTAAATTGTTGTATTTTTATCATTTGGGTCCTTACTTAGTAGAATTTTTATAGAATGATCAGAATGATTGATGATGTACAAACTCAAAACCACTTCTACCAATTCAAATCTCAAAAACTAAAATAAAGCGTTATGCTAATCTTGTAATCATTTTAACTAAAAAGCTATTTTTAATACACATTATCATTGCCAAGCAAAAGAAAGTAAATAAAAGGCAAATTATAAACTTTATTGACAAAAAGTTGAGCCAACCACAACCTACCCATGCCTAATATCCACTTTGAGTTAATTGGCTCGAGCCTTGGCCCTTGTCTTTATCAAACTATTGATAATGGGACTGTCAACAATTTATTTGGACACCACCTTTCATGATTTGATTGTGACACAGAACCCAAGTATTTAATCTTGCAACTAATTTCTTGTTTTCTTAGATTTCCAGAAAAGAAGGGCTTTTTCTTCCCATTTCTTTCATTAACTTAACTTCCAACAACTCTGCGGATTATGAAAGTTATCGGAGATCGTTTCAGTGTGTTGATTTGGTAATTGGCATATTTGGAAAGTTATGGGGATCTTGGATGTGTATGATGAATGTGGTTGATTTATTACTCACTTAGTGTGTATTCTTATAAAGCCGTTTGATATTATCCAAGCGTGTTTCTTGAAAATTAGGTGCATTTTTTTGTTCATCACCACAAACTATGGTGTATGCTCACTGTACACCTCATCATCTAACATGTGTCATTTCACTTAACCATAGCTATTTTTTTTCAAAATTGGAAAATAAACATTTAAAGTTAACCATAGTTAGTTGAAAGGACACATGTTAAGTGATAATATGTATGATAAACATACATAGTAGTTATGAATGTGAGCAAAAATACTCTCTTGAAAATTGTTGTATTTTGCTTTGATTCAACAAATTTGACATCATTTTCAGAAAATTGAAGTCGTTGTGTTAAACTCTAAGATACTTTGTCATAGTAAGTGTCATCTTGAATATTCATTGTTTTATCAAAATTATTGTTTATTGTTTTTATCACAAGCAATATTATTACTTGATAACAACTCACCACTTGCTATCAAGAGGAAGAAAAGAAAAAAAAGAGTTTGAACTTGAGACACATGAAGTTGAAGAGAATGACGCTAACATGAGAACAATCCACTTGTTAGATACCTTAACTTGAGTGATTTTTAATGATGATTGTATGTGAGGACTTCAAATGAAACAGTTTAGATCATGAAAAAACATTGAGTAGTTGTAGCGTCTTATTAGTATATTAATTGATTAGCTATTGAGCGCTATTGTACACTTGTATGTTTGAAATTCACGTGAATTACATTAACAATAAAGTTTATTTTATAGGGTTAAGAAAAAAAGTTTGGAAATTTCCTAAAGGGCTAATTTTCATCCAAATAAAATTGAACACCAAACCAAAAGAGTTACCATGGCAGCTATTAGCAACTAAAGAATCAAATCTACAAAAAAAAATTCAGTGATCTTCTCGTCTTTAACATACTAAATAAATTCAGTCAAGAAATTTGTAAATTCAAAATAAATTATTTAACAAGTAAACAAATCCACAAGAAGATCCCATGTGGTTCAACACGGCGTCGTATAACGCTGTGAAATATCGATACTCCCCTCCGTCGTTAACCCAACGGAGAGAAATAATAGACTTTATTTATAAAAAGCAAAGCAAAACAGAGTGCTCTGCTTTTTGGGTTTTGGATTTTCGAAACCATCAAACACCCATAAACGACCAAATTTTGAATCCAACACGCAGATTCAATCCCAGCTTATCCTCAAATCAAAACCCACCAAATTCTTCAAGTTTTCGACCAAACGGGTAGCCGAATCAAAACCCAGGATCCGAAATTTTTTATGGCTGGTCTGTATGTAAAAGCTGTGCCACCTGCGGATCTGAATAGGAACACAGAGTGGTTCATGTACCCTGGTGTTTGGACCACCTATATCCTCATCCTCTTCTTCTCTTGGCTTCTCGTGCTCTCAATCTTTGGCTGCTCTCCCGGCATGGCTTGGACCATAGTCAATCTCTCTCATTTTGCGGTGTCTTTCTCTCTCCTTTGTCTTTCTCTCTCTATGTGGTTGGTGGTGTGCATATGTTGTCTACTGGGTTTGATTTATTGGTGTTGTTTTCAATTGGGTTTGTGGAATTTTTTATGCTTGTTGATTAGAGGCTGTTGGATTTGATGCTTAATCATTCAAGTAATTGCATTTAGTTGAATTTTGTATAAAACCCATGTTGTAATTATTCAGCTCAATGATGATACGTTGTGTTTCCACGCATATGATTAGGTGTAGCTTTCGTAACTCTACATGGGTTATTTCGATTCTTAATTAGGGCGTTTCATGTAGTTATTGGTTTCATATGAGGTATTGTGTGGAGGGTGAAGACCTAGTTTGTGAATTTCTTGATTTAAGTTAGGATTTAATCCATTTTGTTATCCTGTAATAGAGGGTATGAGTTGGTTCTTGGAGTCGTCGGTAGTTTAGCTTAGAAAACGAGGTTAATCATGTGAAGCCTATTGGTGCGGATATGCTAATTTCACTATTTAGTTTGGTTGCTACTAAAATTTTAAGGAGAGTAGATGGATGACATTTGAATATTACAATTTCATTTTTTATTAGAGATGCAAATGTTACCTTAACTGAGCTGAGCAGTGTTTTTGAGGTCAGTTAGTTGTTAAGTTTTGGAAGACAATGGCATGAAAGGATTCCATACACTTAGTCCACGACTTGGGGGGATTGTCATTGTAACTCGTATCGAAAGCTATTCTTTGTTTTATTTTCAACGGTACTCTTATGTCCTATTTTCTGGGACTTGGGAGTTCAGGAATAAGTATTAGATATGTCCCCATTGATTGCATGCAAATAGATAATTCTTCAATTATGTGGTGCTATGGTTATAACTCATAACGGTTCTTCATATCCAATTAACGCACAGAACTGGTAGTTGTATTTTTAGAGTTGTATACTTTGTTGGAGACGACCTTGAGGTCGCCTTTTGTTCCCTAGTTTGGTATGATGTTTCTGTGTTTAATCATTCAACGGTCTATCCTGAATTATCTATTGATCAAAGGCTTTGGGCCAAATAACATTTTGATTTATAATCCTTATGCATTCTGTTCAGTCTTCCGCTTTGTTAGTTTGACCTCTTAACTCTAGGTTAGTCTCATTCAATTTCCATCTACCGTATTTGAAGAGTCTGGTTCTTCTTCAGATCACATATCACTTCTTCCACTGGAAGAAAGGAACTCCCTTTGCTGATGACCAGGGGATCTACAATAGACTGACGTGGTGGGAGCAGATGGATAGTGGAAAGCAGCTCACTCGCAACAGGAAGTTCTTAACCGTTGTTCCTGTGGTGCTGTAAGTTGATTTTTATGCTGTAAAATTAGCATTTTCAACTCTTTACACTAAGATTAAATATTATTGAACCTCTTGGCTGTTAAAGATTTTATTTAAATTAACCTGCCCAGCTCCAGAAGGCTGTTGTCAAACCTTTCCAACCATGTGTTTGTTGCATATACACTTTTGTTAAACTGTCCCAAACATACTACACCAAATATTTCAGGTCCAGTTTAAAGCTAAGCCTGTACGTGGGTTGGGACTCTGTACCAGACTCATTCAGGTGGCCAACTACAATAAAGAGGACACCAGTTGCTTCATTTCCTATTTAGAACTTAGAAGTTAAAAAAAATGAAAACTTGTGATAGTACATTTAGAATATTAAGAATTTCTGGTTCTGGTCTATTGGCTTTTTGGGATTACGCTGAACACTCCACGTGCAGTTCAGGCCAGATTTTACTGCTCTATACATACTACAATTTGTTTGTTTGTGGTTGCCTTATGGACCACATATCAGTGTTCCATATTAATGCCTGCAAGGAAGCCAGATTTTAGTAAAATCTACATAATTTTTGGATAAGAATATGACACCTCCATTTTTGATGTATGCATGTCCATGGAGCAGTTTGTGAACACATAACATAATCCTAGGTATGAGTTCAGTCATATCCTCTTGCTATTTTCAGCCTTTTTTACCATCAAATAATTCACGTAATCTTATTGATCACGTCAATATTTGGTATGGCTTGGATTCATCTACCACTAATATGTGCTTGATTGGCTTCCCAACTTAGAAGGATGGCGTTTGTAGATCCCCAAACCCATATACCAGGAGTGAGATTTAACCTGCTGCGGTTGGAGAAGTTAGCTTCCTAGATCTTGGTAATTTTGGGAGTCAGTTTCTCTTGGTCAGAATCATTGCCCGTGTTTTTGTTTAACACATTATTACCAAGGCATTGGAAATAAATAGAAATTTCTGAAGCTCTGATTATGATAAGATTTGTATGAACCTGCTGACAAATACCAGTCCCAAAGATAACAGTTTTTACTAGGATTATGTTTTGGAAGCTTTGTTAGAACAAAAACCATGTCGGTTCTCATTTTTGTCTTCCTTATATCCTGCCAGGTACTTGATAGCCTCGCACACAACGGACTACCAGCATCCGATGCTGTTTTTCAACAGTCTTGCAGTCATTGTGCTGGTCATAGCAAAATTCCCCAACATGCACAAAGTCCGGATCTTTGGAATCAATGGAGATAAGTGAGTTGCGCTTACATTTGGGTTGACATGTTCAAAAGCCAGAACATTGTTATCTTATTCGGATGGAGAGCTATATCGTTGTATAGAAGTTGGAACTCGAGGGATATTAGAAAATATAATGTTTTTTCTTTGTGCTTACGGTGTTTCAAGGTGCCTCCCAGATGATGGAATAATTGTATTATCTTTGTACAGTAGAGAAATTTTTATGTATGTGGGAGAGTCACTGTGCTATATGAGCGTATCAATTATTTTGTCTGTTTTTTCTCTTCGTAACTTCCATCTATTTGATAATTTTCCATCCTGAAAACGGTTTTATGCCTGAAATCGGTCAGGGACCACCTTAGATGTTCGACACACGTGTCGATGTTGAAATGCGGCACCAATGAGAGATAATTTGGTTGGTCAGTATTAGCGTCTAAACTCAATGTCTGCATATATTATAGCATGTGGATTAGTAATACTATATGACAGTACGACGTCATGGGTTTTTCTTCACAAGCGAAGCTACTAGTGTTGCTAATGGGAGGTCGTTTTCATTTTCTTTGTTTTGGTTAAACTGAAAGGGGTCAAAATCTTAATCTATCTTAACGTTTAACTTATTTATTTTTTATTAATTTTTTATAAATTCTCCTCACAATCACCACTTGCACTGAGGGTGGCCTTGTTGGAGTTGTGCCCTAAAAACTAATTTTGTAATATTGGATATATTATGTAGTAAATTCATTCTAATTAACTAATAATAAGGTCAAGTTTTGTTCATTTTTGAGTTTGGCTTTATATCATGGTGATAATATACTATGAATGAGTCTATAAGATTTAAGGTATGGAAGCAATATCCTAAACGAGGTTAGGACAAGAAGAAGTGTATTCCATAGTGATTTAGTCCTTTAAGAAAGTTTCAAGCCGTTTGGAGAGTCAACTAGACATTGACTATCTGGTAAAGCTTGTGTATATCGCATTAAGGTTAGCATGATATCACACTACGCGTGGTGGATGCTTATAGAAGTGTTTGTTTGTTGAACAAGTTCACTGAACATTGACCCCTAAGAAGCTTAAATGTACGAATGCTTACCATGTGTCTAACATTACAAAGTTTCGGGTTGTATATTCAAATAATACTTAGAACGGATGATTCATTGGATGCTTATAGATATGAACTTTGACTTTACATCAATGCCCTCACTACTTCGTAGGGCACGATAAAGTGTTGCTTGAGTTCATGTATACGAGGATGGAGATATATGAATGTGCATTAAGAAATCTATCACCTTCTAGTAATTGTTTAATAGAAGGTGATATATCTCAAAGACACTTGAAGATGTATCTCAAAAATCTCTTATCAAAGTAATCATTGATCAACATATGTTTGTAAGAACTATTTCAACATGAGATGGATCATGGCGATCATAGATGACAACATGTGATTGGACAAAATCCATATCACATGAATCTTGATCGGGATATAGATGACAGAAGAACCAGATTCCATTATAACTACAATTAAGGTCTGAAAGAGTTATGATTATATTACGAATACTTCAATCTAATCCAGGTAGCCATGAAATGCTGCTAGATGTCACTCATGGCTTGTGGAGTTGAATTAAGTTATTAATTAATTTCATAGTCAACTTTAGTTAGAACCTAAGGTCACACACTGATGATAGTACTAATGACGCCACGTGGATGATGATAGGATATAATTAATTGTTAATTATATTGGATTAATTATTTGTGCCTGATAGACTCATATTTATACAAGTTTTTATCACCTTAGTACTTGGATATGTATAGTTTTCATCCCTTAGTAGTAGTTTATTTGTGGTTTTCTTATTTTGTAGGATTAATTGCAAAGAAGGGGATTTTGAGGCTAAAAAGAGGAGTTTTGATAGCCTAAAAACGGTTCGGAAACATTCAAAGGAAGATCATAGGACATCAAAGTGGTGCCTAAGACAGGGAGGTGACACAATTTGGAGAATCTGGGATATGGGAGTTTCTGTCCAGCGACTTTGATGAACTAGAGGAACCTCATTGCATACCATAGATGGATGGAAAGATACGGAAGTCTTCTTTCAAATGGAGTTGGAATCATGTCAATCTGATATTCTTGCAATGAATTATGATCATCTTAGTGACTGTTGTTCTGATTTTCAGGTTTGGTTAAATTTGCAATTCAAGTGATTTGGGCCAAATATGTGCAGTTTATTTGAGTTGGAGATTTAAAGCCCAACAAGTAAATTAGTCTGACCATTTGATAGAGAAATATGAGCTGCCCTTTTAGGTCTATTAGTGTACCTAATCCTCATCAAAATACAAGTGAAGGGTGGAGATGAAAAGCAAAAAATAAAAAATAAAAATAAAAAAATTGGAGGGATTGAACGATTTGGGGGTTCCAAGTGGCTGTTGTGGAGAGAACAGCGAAAAAAGGGGAGAACAGCTGCAGACTTGAAGGGGCAAAAAAGAAAAAGAAAAAAAGAATGTAGAAGACGGGGAGGAAGGCACACAAGAGTTCGGCAGCTTGAGGAGCGCAAAATTCTCCTTCAGTTCAAGGGTTTCTCATGTTTTTCTTATCTTTAATTTTGTTTTCCATGACTATGTGTTTCTAAATTCTTTTGCTAAGGCTACAATGTAGCCATAACAAGAATATTTTGTGTTTTTAGCTATTTGATTATCCAAGACAATTTCCGTTATGTTGAATCTCAAATTTTGGGCTTAATTCGCTAGTTCTTTCGTTCTTGACGATTGGCCATCACTTGTATGAATTAATGAGTGTTTGTTGCAGGTTCATAGGCATCCACCCATGTTATATTCTTGTTCAAATCATGAATTTGAGATCACAATTTACTAGAAGCATACACCATGTTCTAGATTTTGTGTGGTTGTATAAAAGTTTCCATTGTACTTAAAGAACTTCAAGTTGTGAAATCTAGGCATACACCATGCTAGGTTGCTTCTTAGAAGAATATAATTTGATGCATACATCATGATCGGATTATAGAGTTGGGAAACTAAATCATCAACATAGGAGTTTAAATGGATAGTTGATAGCTAAGAATTGGAATAGGATTGTTATTGGTGAAATTGGATGCCTTAGTCATTAACGTCTTGTTGGTTCTTAAGTTTTACTGTTAGTGGCTTATTTATTTTCTTAAACTTTTAGCAATTTTATCTATTAGTATTAATCATCACAACCAATATTTCCTTTAATTTTCTTGCTCAATAATGTTTTCAATTTCACTTGTGCGTTAAGTGGTTAGTTATCGAATTAAATCACCGTTCCTTGTGGGATTCGACTCCGTACTTGCACTTTAATACTATCTACGAACTGTGGGCTTTATTTAATTAAAAAGGGTCCAAGTCACAAGCCCAAAGTGGACAATTGAATGACCTTGATGCAAGGCACAAGGCCTAGGCATCAATCCCTATAAAGAGGTGCGGCAGTGGTATTATGAATACCCACGTGTTTTCTCATATGTCCCTAATGCAATTGCGAATGCAATCAATTGCCCCCTTAGAGAAAAGAAAGAAAACCTTAATTGAAAATTCACCTAGTGTGCCACCCAAAATTATTGTTTGAATTGAGTGATCCTGCTAAGATAATTGAATCCCTTACTCTATCATCTATCATTGGTGTATTAGTGTTTATACTTCTAAAAGCTCAACATTTGAAGAGCTTAACGTGATCAACCATGAAGAGGAATAAAACAAGCATAAGGATGATCCTAAATGGTGCACACATGGTTAAGGATTCTTGTAAGTAATCTATTTGTCATCTTTCTTTATTGCTTTATCATTTACAACCAACTGGGTATATAATTGGGATAAAATATTGTATATTATTTATTATGTTTTGCTAATTATTTAATTATTGAAAAAAAATTACACATAGATTACACTTTTAATACTTAATTTTATATTGAGACAACACTTTTTAAACATTTCAAAGAGAGATAAAAGTTAATACATGTGGAAGATGACATCATTCCCTTTTTTCCTCTGGAGTTTAAGTTACGGTAAAGTCTTTTCACACTTCTATCTCATTCATCTTTTATTTTCCTTATCATCCATGAAAATTGGCCTGCTTTTTCCTTCTCTTTCCTTCTCTTTCTACTCATTTGATAGCCTACTACTACGTTTTAGCACCACAAAATATTTTCAACAAATTTATATTAGACTACCAAGAAAAAAAGAAAGCTTTGTTAGCATTAAGAAGAAGAACGCACAAGAAGAGTTATTAAAGAAAGTTGATAACTGGGTTATTAAACTACAAGGAAGGAAGGAACTTCCCTTCTCTTTCTTTACTATTAGGGGTGGGCACTGTGCTGTTCGGTGCAGTTCCACCATTAAATCGGAACCGGAATCGAAAAATATCAATGGTTCAATTCGGTGCGGTTTCGCTTAAATTTATTACTAGAACAACATGGTTCGGTCTACACCAAGGTTCTAAATGACTGTTACGCACTAGTTGGGTGGCGGGTTGGGGCCTAGCGCCTAGGTGGACTAGACGGTTTTATTATACATCTATAGTATTGGTCGATTAATAGTAAGAGATGAAAGTACAAATGGTTATAAGTCCATAGCACTTACTAAATATTTTTCAAGGATTTTGAATTTACAAGGAACTTAAAAAAGAAGTAAAAGTATTAAATATGTGTTATAATCTTATAGTCGTTGTAGGCTTGTAGGGGTGAAGGAAACTAGGCAACATAAAAGGGGAATGGGGCGCCACCACACTAATATTTAATATATTAGGTTGTTAGCTGTCAAATTTTAATAGAAGCAATTTAATAAAAATTTAAACAAAAAAAGTGGGGTGGTCACTGGTCACATCTATCACGTGGGTGGGAAATGAAGAGAGAGACTCATTTCTCTTTTCTTATTCGATGAACATAAAAGTCTGAAACACAGAACGCACAACTAGAACCAGAACGAAACCCAGAACAAGAACTCAGCTGCTCTCCAAAAAATATCTGCAAGGTCCAGACGCTTGTCTAGGCCACCTACTCACCTGCCTAAGCCACCCAAGCACGCCTAGGCTGCCCAAGCACCGCCTAGGCCGCCTTAGAGCCTACCTAATCCCTTTGCTGCTTTTCCTCCCAACTATGGGTTACTTGCAGCTGTTGGCCATCACGTAGTGCCTAGGCGGCCGCCTAGGCTGATTTTTAAAACACTGGTCTACATTAGTTACGATTCGGTTCTTGCCAGTTTACAGTTTCAAATACTAATTATTTGAACACCAAATCATCATGCATTTAAAT